TTTGCTAAGAGTAACAAAGAAACAAAATAGATACTATGCAAAAAAAAAAAACTAACATATATTTAAAAGTATAAGATAAAACAAGAGAGCAGCCAGAACACTGACCTCTAAGTCTGGTGCATATACCATGAGAATGCTTACTGCACTCCTTTCTTGATTTGAAACACCTTTATTAGCTCTTAAACTCTGAAAACGCTGTACATGTAGTACTTGTCAGTAAGTGCAGTCAAGCAAAAACCAGCTTCATTTTGTATTTTTACAAAGCTGAGACTCACATCTGTGCTTTGATCTAAATTTAAAAAAGGAAATGAAAATTCAATATGAAAATAAGCAATGAGAAGGTAACTCTCTCCAAAACAAAAGCACTGAAGTTTAAAATGTTATAAACAAAACATAAACCCTATTATATATCTAAAAATTGGGTATTAGTTTAGAACCAGGATTTTAATTTTTCAAAGAAATTCAATTTTTTAAAAAGCAATACACATTTATAGTTTTAAAATTCAAATACAAAAAGGTTAAAACAAATGCAAAGTAAAAGATACTCTCCTCTCCTCTGAGGCAGGCAATCTCTATTAAAAACTCTCATGCAGGGGCGCCTGGGTGGCTCAGATGGTTAAGCGTCTGCCTTCGGCTCAGGTCATGATCCCGGGGGTTCTGGGATCGAGCCCCGCATCACATCGGGCTCCCTGCTCAGCGGGAAGCCTGCTTCTCCCTCCCCCACTCCCCCTGCTTGTATTCCCTCTCTCCCTCCCCCACTCCCCCTGCTTGTATTCCCTCTCTCGCTGTGTCTCTGTCAAATAAATAAAATCTGGTAGGCTCTCAATGCAGCAAAGCAAGAACTAGGAGTGTCTGCAGAGGTCATCTCCTGCAACTTTGCCCGTGCAACTTCAGGCAAAAAGACCAACAAAACAGTGGACTTCATTAAGGACTGGATTGGAAATGGGATAGCATACACTATCTTGCCCTTAACAAAAACATGGCCTTTCAAACCAAGTACTGTGTACAGTTCTAAACTCTAGTTCAGAGGCAGTCGGGTACAGCGATTAACAGATGTGTTTAAATCCAACTTTCCGCCCCTTACCATGTCACAGTTCCTTCACTTGTAAAATGGGAGGAGGAATATCTACCTAACTTGTTCCACAATTAAAAGAAAAACATGTAATTTTTTTAGCATAGTACCTAACACATAAGACTGTTCCCCAAAACGGTAGTTATCATTACTACTATAAAGCAGGAAGTAATCTCCCAGAGAAAAGCCATTACAATATCAAGAGACATTCTTAAACTTTGATATGCAATAAATCACCTCAAGGGCTTGTTAAAAATGCAGATTCCTAGGACCCATTCCTCCCAGGGATTAATTCTACAAGTCTAAAGTAGAATGTGGGGGGAGAAAAAATTAAACATAAAAATAAAACATAAAATAGAATGTGGCCATTCTCTTGCCCAAACATCAAGAATTACTGAAGTAAGAGAATCAAGGCACTGCCCTATTAAAAAAAAAAAAAAAAAAAAAGGCTAAAAACTAGGATTCTTCCATACAAAGAACTGATCTAAAACAGTATGTTTGGGGCGCCTGGGTGGCTCAGTTGGTTAAGCGACTGCCTTCGGCTCAGGTCATGATCCTGGAGTCCCGGGATCGAGTCCCACATCGGGCTCCCTGCTCAGCAGGGAGTCTGCTTCTCCCTCTGACCCTCTTCCCTCTCGTGTTCTCTATCTCTCATTCTCTCTCTCTCAAATAAATAAAATCTTTAAAAAAAAAAATAAAATAAAACAGTATGTTCAGCAATTAACAGTATGTTCAGCACCTGTTCAGCAAGTTCATTCATTCAACTAACATTGAGTTCCTACTATGCAGTGAAAAGAAGAGACAAGGTCCCCATTTTCTGAGTTTAATTTCTAGTGTAGGAAACAGAATATAAAAAATAAGGAAATTCCAGATAGTACAAAATGTTATGAAGAAAATAAGGGAATGGAGAGATAATTAGGGAGCAATCTCCTCAAAGATACAACATCTGAACTGAGACCTGAATGACATGATGGAATCAGCCACAGCAAGATCTGGGAGAATATTGAAGCCACGAGGTATGGCAATCGTAAATGCCCTAAGGCAGGAACAAGCCTGGCAAGTTCCAGGGACAGTGCCAGCAGGGCTGGAAGACAGGAAGAAACTGACGTGGCCAGGCTCCGGGGTACTAATCTAGGCAGAGGGATATATGGTGAGTTAAGGGAAGGAGGCAGGGCCAAAACATGTAGTTTGGATTTTATTCTGAACATGATGGAAGGCTTTCCAAAAAAAGGGTAACATAATCTGATTTACACTTTAAAGGATCTTTTACCATGTTGTGATTTGGTAAGAGGAATGCACCATAAAAAGCCAAAGGGGAGGCCAGGAGACCAGGATGTTACTACAATAGGCCAGGTAAGAGATAGTGAGAGTTGGCAAAGGTAGAATCAGTAGCAATGGGAAGTGGTGGCCAAATTTAGAATACATATTTAAACACTATAATTAAAAGCAAATCAGAGAAAAAGTACCAAGTCACAAAATAAGTAGAAAGCATCTGGAACTAATTACCCAAGAGATAGAGGATAAAAATTGAGATTTAAAGGTTTTACGGATGTTTATGACTAAGGGACGTGAATGGGTTATTAGCATATTTAGGATACTTCCTAATAAGTATTTATCCTCTGAAGCTGAGGTGAAGGGGACATTTCCTTCTCTTTTGGCACCACCAAGAAGGCAATGGGCTAAACGGACATACATCCAATACTCTTAAGTGTGATTCATAAAGTAAAATCTTTGGGGACCTCACCGACAGAGGCCTGGCCAGGTGGTCAGCATTCGGAGCACAGTGTAGCTATCGAACAGAACTAAAGCTTTACCTGAATCGAATCACTAAATTAGCAAAACTCTTTTAAACTTTCTATCATCAACTTAGGCTATTCTGTCCCTGCTCTCCCAAGAGTTAAACAAGAAAACCTTATAGTATAGACACACAATGCATATTAACTTCTTAATGTTATCACAGAAGTCTGGGAGGAAATCTTTTAAAATCATGATTTTAGAGACCCCTGGGTGGCTCAGTCGGTTAAGCATCTGCTTCGGCTCTGATCATTATCCCAGGGATCAGTCCTGCATCAGGCTCCTTGCTCCACGGGGAGCCTGCTTCTCCTTCTGCCTCTGCCTCTCCCCTCTGCTCGTTCTCTCTCTCTCTCTCTCAAATAAATAAAATCTTAAAAAAAATAACCATAATTTTAATCATTATGGTTTGGCAAACATACAGTGACTATACCCTAATTTAAGGTCCAAAAGTCCCTCTCCACGAAAATGTAAATTTTGTTACTCCAAAGTACTACCACGTAAAAGAGCAGGTTACAGAAAAAGCATATGCAGTATGATACCATTTTTGTGTAAAATGTATAACTGCAAAAAAGAAGTCTGGAAGGATATAAATCACTACCAACATTTTGATCATTTCTGGATGGCAGGATTATTGATGACTTATTTTCTTTTTTCCTTATTAATTGTAATAATTCTCCAATTATAAATTATTTCATATAAGCCAGAACATTCAGTTCAGGTTACATAAAAGGTAAAAAAAAAAATTTTTTTTTTCAAGGAAACAATTTCATTTATCTAAATCAGGATTCCAACTGTGGTATTAAGAAAAGATATCTCAACCGTACATACAGGAGAAAGAAATTTGTTAAGAAGTCCATGATCTACCACACAAGGAAACACCCTTCAAGGAAGTGGTCTAAATGCCTAAGTACTCTTCCTGAATTTCATAAGGGGCAATCAATTAGCACATACTTTTGTTGTTCTTTCTTGCCATTTACCAAAGAAACACCTCAATCAGTTCTCTGGGGACAAAAAAAAAAAAGGGAGGGAGGGTTTTTTTTTAAACACCAAGTTAGGGCAAAAAGGGGGTTTGGTTCTCTGGTCTCCTTTGTGCTGTCCAGGGGCGCGGAAGGTAGCAGGGCTTGAAGCAAGCTACTCTAGAGGAATCTGCGTGGCCGATCACCTGAAGTGGAAGGGAACGCAAGCTTTCTGCAACCTCCACTGAACTGGGCCATGAGACCGCCTAAGGGTCTCAAGGCTAAAACACCATCCAAGTTATTGTGTATGGAGAGCTGCCAACGATTTCTGACAATAACACACAAAAACTGGAAGGTCTCTTCAACAAACACAGGTATTAAGTGCGTGAGGCTCATCCGACTCTCGAAGCAAAACCAAGACACCTTTTCTTATTAAGGCCGTTATCTTCGATTCTGCAAACTAGGAAAACTCAAAACATCCTACTGACTTTCTACAGCTAACAAATATCATCTTGGCTAAAATCCGAACACACACAGAAGCAGCCACTTTGGAAAACTTTGGCTTTAAACAGCAACATTGGACTTCAAGTGCTCCAGTAACCAGCTTATCGCACATTATGTCTTTATAAAAGGTGCTACCTCTTTACTGTCAGCTCTGGTTCCACTTACTGAACAAACATAAAAAGGGAATACTTTCAAATCGCACCACAATAAGGACTAAAAAAGCTCCCGCTTTCTGGATGGCAGCTTTCCTCTCTCATCAATCCCAACAAAGGACGCATCCTAATGACTTCATCAAACCTAGAGAAACGGAGGTAAATGAGAACAGTGTGGATTTCAGGGTTTGTGGGGTTTTCCTTCCCGCTACGACTCTCCTCTTTTTACTCCATTATACGCCTCCACCCGAGCTGACTGCCTTGCCCTAAAAATAAAACCACCCGTGGCTACCGTCCACTTTCCTGCTAAGCCCCGACCCTGGTTTCCTGCAGAGAAAGCCAAATTGCAGGCTCTCTGCCTCGCTCTTCGCCGGCGGACGCGGGCTCGGCAGCAGCCGGCTTTTCCCAGTGAAGAGTCACCTGCCCGGGCGGAGAACCACCGAGCCCGAGAAGCCAGCCCCGCTCTGCCGCAGCCGCCGCAGTCCCCCAGAGCCTGAGGAGCCCCCAGGAAAAACAGGGTGAGGGGAGGGTGGGCCGGCAAACGGCGGTGGTAGAGGGGAAGACACTCACCCGCCCAGACAACAACCGACGGGGCGGGGAGGATGGGGGCCGGGACCAAGGCTCGGCAGAAAGACCGCCTGAAGCTTCCGGAACGCTGCGGCTGCTCGGGACGCCGCGGCCGCTGCTGCTCCTTGCCGCTGGTTTCCTCCCCTCCTCTGTTTTGATTCGATTGACCACGTCACTCTAAGCCACGAGACCCGGATCTGCCGGCTCCCGCGGGCGGCCGCGCAACAGATTGCAGCGACTCGAGACCCCAGCCGCCCGCCTGCAGAGCATGCGCGCGCTCCGCGCCTGCCCAGTGCGTCGGAGGAGGCGGGGCGGGCGCGAGCGACACGCTATTCGTGGGGGCGCAGAGCTCGGGGGTTGCAGTTCCGGTTGGGAGGGGTGGGGCCGAGCGCTGTGAAGTGAAGAAGGCGAGGCCGGGTGTTTGTTGAACTGGCCCGCGTAACCTCTGTTTCGTCTTTGGTGAACAATGTCCTTTGCTGTGCGTCACCTTTTGCCTGATTTGGTGGCTTCCTCTGACCTGAGTCCTTAGAATATCGAGGGGAGAAGTAGAGGTGGGCGCAAGTTCGTGTTTGCTGAGAAAGAGTACCCCTGTAGAGTTGTGGGGTTTTTTTGTGTGTGTTTTCTTTGTTTTTGGGTTGTTGGGGTTTTTTGCTCACTTAGGCCCGGGTGAAAATTGGAGATGAGAATTTAGTCCGATGCACAAAAGTATGTCAAATGTAGCAGTTATTGAACCACTTTACCCTCCCTAACGTTTTTGCACCCGGAAAGCTGTCTAAAATTAAGCTCAAGAGAAATATTAAAGGGAATCGGTCACCAACCATGGCTTGCTGATCCGGAGATAGTGAAGAATGGGCAGAGGGGAAGCTTTGTTGAGCGGCACCCCTAAGCCTTTGTGGCTGGAATAAGGATACTATTTGGGAACTGAGAACCTCACTTCTTTTGGACCTAGTTTGGTGCTTCCTACGCTCCCATTCTGGCATTCTTAGTTTCCCAGCTAAACCTTTGGGGCCCTGGAAATTTCCCAATTTGGCAAAACTTAGGGCTACTCTTTTTGTTTTGTTTTTGTTGTTTTTTTTTTACTTGAGAGAGAGAGAGCGAGAGCACAGAGGGAGAGGGAAAAGCAGGCTCCCTGCTGATGCGGGGATCGATTCCTGGACCCTGAGATCATGACCCGAGCCCTGAGATCATGACCCGAGCCCAAGGCAGACGCTTCACGACTGAGCCACCCAGGCGCCCCAGGGCTACTCTGTTTTAGGTCCATGAATTAACAAACTTTAATTAGAACAGGGCCAGTGGCAAAATAAAAGTGTAAGTTCCAAACAAAGATTTCACAAAGGCATATCCTCTGCCTATCTTGCAGAAGAGGTGAAAGTTAGCTGTAAAAAAAAGTCTTCCTTACTCTGACTTGGATGACCTTTTCACCTTTCTGAATTACTACCCAGCCACTTAGTAAATCCTCTCACCTGAGTCACCTTCAGCAAATTAGTAATATAATCTACAAGATCTTTTTAATGTACGTGGAATGTTGCACAAAGATAAAGATTTCTAGAAAATTAAAGGTTCCTGGTAAAACTCAAAGTGTTTCCTTGTTAATTAACAGATTATAAGTAAATAGAAGTCAAACTTCTTGGCCGTTCATCTGCCATCTTGAACTCTATTTACTCAAATTTAGAGAACTTGAGGTGGAATCTAATGCCCTAATGAAGTTCATGTGCTGACACTATAGCAGAGGGTTTTTAATTTGTGGAACTTTAATTGTGGACCAGAAAGTCTTACATGCTTGGGTGCACTAACGTGCACAGATGTGTTTGAGAACATTTTAAAACAGTAATGTCACAAAACTAGAATTGTATGGGTTGTGGCAAAATTATCGATACTGGCTTTATAAAGTATATTACAGGAAAATTAAGATGTTAGGATCCTTGGTAGGCAGCTGCCACGGTAACCTCCAATGATTCTCGCCTCTGGAAATGTAGTCCCCTCCAGCCTTTTGAATCAAGTCTAGTCCCATCCATAGAATACAGCTGAAGGTGTGTGACTTCTGAGACTAGGTCATAAAGGCACTGATTGCAGCTTTCCACCTCATTCTTTTGGATTGCTTGCATTGGGGAAGCTAGTGTACACACCACTCCACTCGAGCAGCTCTGTAAGGGGACCATGTGGAGAGGAACAAGAGCTTCCACTAACGGCTGCACCACCTTGCTAGCCATGTGAGTGAACTACTTTGGGCTGATCTTGTAACCCCAGCCAAGCATTGGATGACTGCATTCCTGCCCAGCATCTATTTGCAGTCTCATGAGAGAAAGGGCCAGCTTTATACCCACAGACAGTGATACGGGATCTTACGTGGTTTATGCCCAATCGTAAAGTTCAACCTTTCTAACCTTTAAACAATAGAAAAACAAAAAGTGTGTGTGTGATTCTATACGTAAAGTAATTTGAAGAATAACATAGAATTCCTACCACAGTACCTGGAACATAGTAGATACTGAATAAATACTTTTTAAATTATTTTTTATGTATTTGGGGGAGGGCAGCAAAAGCAAGTTTTATTGAGTGATAGTAAAGTTTGAGAGTATGAAGCTCCCAAAGAGGGAGGGGACCCAAGAGGGTTGCCCAATAAATACTTTTTTAAAGATTTATCCATTTTAGAGAGAGAGTGGGTACAACTGCACTAGTCGGGAGGGGCAGAGGGAGAAAATCTTCAAGCAGACTCCCCGCTGAGTTCAGTGCCCAAGGGAGGGCTCAATCCCATGACCCATGAGATCATGACCTGAGCAGAAACCAAGAGTCGGATGGATGCTCAACCAACTGAGCCACCCAGATGCCCCTGAATAAATATTTGCTGAATGGACACATAAAATTAAAGACACACCATTTAGAAAATACTGGGAATAAATACTGATAAAGAAGTAACACCATAATATATGAAGGACTCATACTCATCAGTAAAGAAAATATTAATGCCTCTAATACTTCTGTAGGTATAGAGTAGGAACTGAAGGTTTCCACACAAAAAGGAGATACAAATAACTAATATTTGAAAATCTTCAATGTTGGGTGCATGGGTGGCTCAGTTGGTTAAGTGTCTGCCTTCGGCTCAGGTCATGATTCCAGAGTCCTGGGATCAAGCCCCACATCAGGTTCCTTGTTAGGTGGGGAGCCTTCTTCTCCCTCTGCCTGCCGCTCCCCTTGCTTGTGCTCTCTCTCTTTATCTGTCAAATAAATAAAATCTTAAAAAAATAGAAATCTTCAATCTCATCAAAATGCAAATTAAGGGCACCTGGGTGGCTCAGTTGGTTGGGCGACTGCCTTTGGCTCAGGTCATGATCCTGGAGTCCCAGGATCGAGTCCCGCATCGGGCTCCCTGCTCAGCAGGGAGTCTGCTTCTCCCTCTGACCTTCCCCGCCTCTCATTCTCTCTCTCAAATAAATAAATAAAATCTTTTTAAAAAATGCAAATTAAGAGGTGCCTGGGTGGCTCAGTCAGTTAAGTATCCAACTCTTAATCTCAGCTCAGGTCTTGATCTCAGCGTCCTGAGTTCAAGCCCCGCATTGGGCTCCACGCTGGGTGTGGACATACTTTAAATAAATAAATAAATACAGAAATACAGAAATAAATGCAAATTAAAGTAAAATTTTCTTTTAAAACTATTACTTTATGGAGATTTTAAAGATTTTTTATTTTTAAGTAATCTCTACACCCAACATGGGCTCAAACTCACAACCCTGAGATCAAGAGTTTCATGCTCCACTGACCAAGCCAGCCAGACGCTCCTGGAGATATTTTTATAATAGGAGTATTGAATATTGGTACTGCTAGCTCTACTGGTAGAAATTTTAAGTTGGCAGTCAGCTTTTTGGAAATCAATTTGGCAATATATATGAAGTTCTATAAAAATCTCATCTATTAGCTCAATTTCACTTTTAGGAACTTAAGTAATTTAAAAGTTAATAACATTATAAAGATATTAATTGCATTTATATGATGGAATAAAAATATGGAAATAACCTATGTGAACAATGGTAATGGAATAGATAACTTTGTTGCATTGTATGTTAGGATCTAAGAAACTTGAGTATAGAAGTAATTTAAAATAGATTTTAAGAAAGTTAATCACATTTTATATGATGGAGAAAATATCTAGAAATAATCTAAACATAATGGTAATGGAACGGATGAATATGTTAAATTATGTGTTAGGGACTAACAAACTTGAAAGTTTCTCCCCTTTCTGAACCAACCCTACTTTGATTCTTGATCTAGAAGAAGAAAGTGTTCGTAAGTAATATATGCTTTATATATTCATAAAAGCATTCTGGACGATATTCCTAAAACTACTGACATTGGCTACTGGGAGGAGGGGGTGCAGGTGGAGTGAAGTAAGTGGTGAGAGACTTCTTTATGACTTTTTTTTTTTAAGATTTTATTTATTTATTTGACAGAGAGACACACAGCGAGAGAGGGAACACAAGCAGGGGGAGTGGGAAAGGGAGAAGCAGGCTTCCCGCAGAGCAGGGAGCCTGATGCGGGGCTCGATCCCAGGACGCTGGGATCATGACCTGAGCCGAAGGCAGCCACTTAATGACTGAGCCACCCAGGCGCCCCTTCTTTATGACTCTTTACCCTTTTGTATGGTTTGAATTTTTACATATCCAATACATTAGTTTTGCAATGAAAATAATATTTTTTTTTACCTTTTTTTGTGGTTGTATTAGGCTGCCTGTTTGTATACAGGCTACCATAACAGAATACCACAGACTGGATGGCTCAAACAACAGAAATTTATTTTCTCAAACTTCTGGTGGTACAAAATCCAAGATCAAGGTGCCCACAGGGTTGGTTTCTGGTGAGATCTCTCTTCCTGGCTTACAAATGGCCACCATCTGGCTGTGTCCTCACATGGCCTTTCTTCTGTGCACCGGCCCTCCTAATGTCTCTTCTTATCAGGATGCCAATGCTGTTGAATTAGGGCTTACCCTTATGAACTCATTTAACTTTAATTACTTCCTTATAGGCCCTATCTCCAAATATAGTCACACTGGGTGTTGGGGCTTCAATATATGAATCTGAGGAGACATAATTTAATCCATAGGAGTGGTTATATATATATAACATGAAATTTACCATTCTAACCATTTTTGAGAATACAGTTCTATGGCATTAAATATATTCATGTTGTGTAAAAATCACCAACATCTATTTCAGGAACTTTTTCATCTTTCCAATTAAAACTCTGTGCCTGTTAAACACTAATTTCCCATTCCCCCTTCTCCCCAGTCCCTGGCAACCACTATTCTACTTTCTGTCTCTGTAAATTTGACTACTC